TTGCATTTATCCAAAAAGGCAGATGCTATACCTGCCCTTAATTGAACTTCAAAGATGTCCATGACAGATGGGTTGTTGACATGATCATGCAGTGCATGAATCTCTTGCATTTGCCAGCTGTTTTGCTACTCTGCAGTCAAGGCTTCATCTAGCTTTATATATGCCTGCCTCACCAATGGCCCTGCTGCTCAAGCTGCTTTGAGCTTCTGCAATAGGCTATCCACTTAATCTTGGATGTCAGAGAGTGTGCTGCAAGTGGATCCTCAGACTAACCAATCTGAATCATCCTCATGCAGTTGGAATCATTCATCTGGAAATCCAGCAGTTCTTGGTGATGTGGTGAGGTCATCCTGCATGCAGATGTGGATGCCATGTTAAGGATGGACCACAATGTTTCAATGATTTCTCTGTCTACCCATCTGGCCCCCTTAATGAACAGCAGGGCATACCATGCATAACATTCCTTCTTGTGCCCATGCACATGCCATATGCTGATTCCAGGGATAATCCAAAGTGACGATGGGATATCAATCATCTCACTTCAACCCACACACTTCCACAGACTTGTCATGTAGGAGCAGTTAATGTCATAGAAGCAAACCACTTGTTTGATCCCTTCCATATTGTATCCCAACACATTTGCCAAAGAGTAGTCCATGTTCAACTGTCTGCAGCACCATCAGCAGTGTGAGTCAAAGTGTGGTTCAGTGGTGAAAACCAACCAAAACCAACACAAAAGACAAAAAGAGCGAGTGGTTGTGTGCCTATGTGGTACCTAGATGGTAGAACCTTTGACTTGGGTGGGTTTTTGCAAGCTACAACACTCAAGGATGAGTGCTGAGGGTTGGGGGTGCTCCCGACAAAGAGGGAGCAAGAATGCAATAGAAAGCAATAGGGTAGACTGCTGTCAGCCTACAGAAGGATGGATGGCAACTTAATTTGATGTTCTAAGCTGCACTGAGCTCAGGGAGGGCCTGGAGTGAAGTATATTGATGATAGACAAGGATAAGCAAAGTAGACAATAGTTAGACCCTTAATAAAGTCTCAACTATTGAAGCTGCTGAATGAATTACTGAGTGATGATAAAATGCAAGCAAGAGGGGCTCTCTGATGTCTTCTTCTTGCTATCTAAGCACAGTGATTTATATACAGTACAGGGGTGTTGCCTATGGAAAACAAGGTGCAAACACTTGGTAAGTGATTGGTAACTGATGAGTAAGGAATGTAAGCAATGGGTAATCATCTTGGAAAGCATTGGTAAGCATTGGTAAGCATTAGCAAGCCAAAAGGCAAAGGATCAGTAAGCAAAGTCAAAAGATTGGTAAGTATTGGCAATAGGTGAGTCAAAGACAGTCAGAACATCAAAGTATGAGTCAAGTAATGTCAGGAACTGGGAAAGCACATTGGAATTGCATTAGGGGGAGGCTGTGCATGTCACATCTCAAAGAGATCGCTTCTAGGCCAAGGTGGGATGACAGAGAGGCAGTGCTGATCTGATGCCAATATAGTTCATCCAAAAGTGGACAGGGTGAGTCAGATGTCAACAGGGGTCAAGCTTTGGGGGTCTGTGGGGTGACAGGAGCATAGGGGATCACAACTTTCCCCCCCAAACCATCCTCTCAGTGAAGCAAATGAACACTTCATGAATGAGGCTCTGTTGGAAGAGAGGATGAAGGGGGAGTGTCTTCTGCTGCACCTTGCAATAAGGAGGCAAGATGTGCATCATACTTGTCATGGATGCAATCAGGGAGAGTGGACAACAGTAGATTATACTGTAGCTATCACAATCTTGGAAGAATGATGGATGAGACTGGTATGAAGACATTGCAGGGAGCAGGGAGGAAGGATCCATATGCTTCTTGGACTGGAGAGACTGAAACAACCACATAAGACCTTTCCAAGCAAATGACAGACGTGAGGCAACCAAAGAATGTCCTCCTAGAGGTCATACTGACAAAATGAACATGCTGTCCAAGCTGGATGGGCTGAGAGAGCACAGACAAGGGTGGGATGTACCAGGATGCTTCAGGATGGAAGCTGGTAGGAACTCCTGGTAGATATATGTAGCCATGGTCCCTAGCAAAGGGGACAAGCGAAATGACTGATGTAGAGGTGGCCATATCAGAAGAATTTAGCGAAATGAGCATCTTTTGGAGGGAGTGCTGTAGAAACATGTGGAGTGCACAAATCCTTTCCAATTTTGGAAGGTAAGATTGTGTGGCTGAGCACTACAAGCAAGTGTGGGAATGGTCTCTGTATCTGCAGAAACGGTGGAGATATGTCAAAAACTGGAATGCCATACATGGGCACTTAAGAATTTTAGCCAGTGCTTAACTTGCTCCCTTTCTTTTTCTCTGGCACTGATGACTTGTTCTTGTGCGAGGGATGACTGCCAACATTTCTGGTTGTCCTTCTTTGCATGAGGGCTATGGTCTTCATCTCTGTTCATCAGCTGTATCCATGTCCACCTCACCAAACACCTTTGGTGTGTAACACTGCCATTGTCCAACCTTGCTTCCCACAGTGTGAATGATATTCTTGCCATTGTTCCTACAAGTTTAAATCTTGATTCATCATTGACCTATCAGTGAACCCATCATTGTTGAATATGTCCACTGAACAGTCCCACCAAGTTCATTTCCATCATCAAGGTGAGGTTGTCTTCATTGTTGGATCCAGTGACCTAAGCCATCCACAGCTAATGGAAGACCAATCAAGCCAAGGCAATCTAGCTCCTGTGTGAAGCAGTCCAAAAATCTGGAGGAAACACTAGTACAACTGTGTGAGTTGCAAGAGCCAACCCCTCCACCAATTGTCTGAAGTGGAAGGGCAGATATGGCAGGGTCAAACATGGATATTGTGGCCTGTGAGTGAACATGATTTCTCTCCAAGCTAAACAACAAACATTCTTTCACTATAGATTCATGTGAAAGCTTGCTGGATCAGTTCCTGCAGGAAAGGGAGCCAACTGCCTGGCAGAGGGCAGAATTGCAGCTGGTGAGTTGGCACAATTGCTGTTCAAGCTAATGAACAAACTAATTTTCTAGTAATAGATCCACATGACAACTTGATGAATTGGTTCCTGAATGAATGGGAACCAACTGCTCCCCCAGTGGATGGTATGAATGTGGATCTACTCAAGCAATTGCTGAATGCATGGGAACCATTGGCACTGCCAGTCACACATGAGACATTAAACTGGATGGATGGGTCTTCAACACCTGCACAAGATGTTACTATGCAGGTCGATTTTCTGGAAGACTTGCAGAATGTGTGGGAACCATCTCCTCTGCCCATCACCCATGAATCATCAAATCTGAGGGACCAATCTCCTCAACCTGATTCTCCAACTAACCTGCTTGCTCAATTGCAGGATATGAGGGAACCAATGCCTCCCCCACTCGTTTCAAATGTACCTGTTGAACCTTTTGACTTGGCAGCAGATGAGGACAATGGTGTATTTGACTTTTGGCATGCCTGAACAATCAGAGATGAGGGATCTTTTTGAGGAAATATGCAACAGTGAGCATTTATTTGGTTCTATTCATGTGATCAGTGATATCCATTGATTATGTAGGTGAACTTCCATCCACACAGCAATCTCTTCAAATGGAACAATGAGGATTGGCACCTGTTCTGTGTTGTGATCAAGGTATGGGCATGAGCTTAATCTGATACACCTTTGACATTGATAATTTTAGTCTTGCATGCCTTACATGCTGCAGTATCTTGCTATCATGGAAACACCACTCCCAGTGACCTGCTGTTCAATCCCACCCTTGATAGGCACCTTGCACAGGCTGCGAATGCCATTGCAAGAGAATTGGGCACAGCTGCAAGGGACCAGTATGGTGCAGCCTCTCAGGGCCTTTGACTCGTCAATATGCTCAATTTGATGGAATTTGTTCATTATCCACATTCCACCTTTGAAAGTTGTCCCAAGCCATTCATTGCCAGCCAATCACACCCATCTTGCCAGTCTGTGGTAGAGATGGGTATCCTCTACTTGGCATGCCAGATCGAGGTGGCCTCTGTACATCTGAAGTAGACTGCCAATATCACAGGATGGCCTGCACATTGGTGTGCAAACCTAGCAATGGACTTGGTAGGTTTTACATCAATTTTTCACAATGTGGGACTGATACATAATTCCTTCAGAATCAGCCCAATAGCTTGATTCTGGTGATGGTGTTGCATGCCAGTTATACTCCTCCCCTCCCAGCATGCTACCATGCATACCTCAGACACCAAGATGATGAGGTTAGCTTCTGTGATCAAATGCAGCTAATTCCCCTTAGCACATTTTGCATAATTGACAATATCAGCACCATCATCCCACATTGGACCCCACATGCAGCTGATCCCAATTCTGGCTTTGCATTCCCTTGGTGGCTATATTGTTCCATGGAATATGCAGTGGATTCCCAAAGATTGCAAGGCAAGGGATTGTTTTCTGCAGCCTGAGATTTTGTTAAGGTATGCTGCTTATTCTTGTTGCTGCAAATAGTTGATGATGGCCCAGGGCTTATGGCCATTGCCTGAGGTGCCAATCACAGACTGTCTTGATGGCCATATTGAGGAGCAGGTAAACTACTGCATTGAAAACATTTGGAAATATGCCAATGTTGTCAACAGTCAGGGTTGACAAATTGACCATTTCTACACTAGGTGGTGGGCATTGTGTGGGTTGTTGGGCATGCTGCTTCAATAGTTTACATGTTTTTGACTGTGGAGTTGGTTGAATATACATTGCTATAAATGTTGATCATTTATGAGATGCCACCCATTTGCATGATGTCTGAACCCCCACCCATCTGCATGATGTCTGACAATCCACCCATCTGCATGATGGCCTGAGTAGGTTTATTTTTTTTGCAGTTTATGATGCACACCCTTTAGTTCTGAGTACCCACCGAATCTATGATGTTGAAGCACCTGCCCATTTGCAAAATCTTGGCAACACCACCCATCCAAAGTTCAAGAGCCAGCATATCCTAATAAAATACAAGATCCACATTGCCTACTAAATCTTACATTAAATTTTGCAGCTTCAAATCAACAGTTCTCCAGTTGCAACTGGTCTAGGTAGTAGGTCATCCATCTGTAGTGATTGACACATGGGAACATGCACTGACTGATGTACATTGGCATGCATGTAGTATACCAGGCATGCTCTGTCACCTGTCTACAGCTCCCACCCCATGCTCCAATGCTGAACCTGAAAATGCAATGATCATCCCTGGGTTGTAGGCACAGCCACAGATTCAATGTTGGAATGACAAAGTCCAAGGGTGGGTAGTTGCCCACTGTTACCAGCATGTCATACCATGGATCCTGTCCATTGATATCCCTGTGGTAACAAGTTGCCCAATTCACCATCACAGATATGCTGCTATATGTGGAGCTCCATATCAGCAGTATGGAGCTCATATCTGAATCCACCCACTGTTCTGCCTGTTTGCCAAGGCAGATCAATGCTTTCCCTGCCATCTGCATACATTCATGGATGGATGACATGCAGGATCACAGATAACAGGGCATTGGTGTTGGACATTTGGTTGACCCATTCCCTTGTAGAAGTGTTTTCTGTCCTGGATTCAAGCAGCTGTGAGGCTTCTGGGAAGCCATTTTGGGGCTTCAAGACAGATGAGCACTTTATTCACAAGGAAAGAAATGATCACCCACCCCATGACCCTGTTGAAACCATGCAGGGTGACAGGTTGATGGCACCTTTCAACTCAGCATTATCATGGAAATATGACTTGTCCTGTCTGCCATGCCTGTGGGGAAGCCTTTATGCTCTCCCACAGTGGTTCCCTCAGAAGATGAAGGCAGTTCCATATGTTGGCCTGCCATTCCATTAAGTCAGTAGAATATGAGATTCTGCATTCCCTTACCCTTCTTTTTGGGCTGAAAGCATCTGGCAAATACCAAACATGGATGGTGTTTGAGTTGGTCACCAGAATGGATGGCTCAGTCACTTCCACATATCTCTCAGCAGCTTCTGCATTGCAGGTTTTTCCACCTCAATTTTTCCCAATGTTGACTGCAGAAAGATGAAAACTTCCATCACACCATTATGATGGACTTACTAGGGTGACAATAGGCCTGTGAGATTACTGATGATATGCAATCCACATCACATAACACCAGAAACAGAATCAATATATCTGGAAGGGTGTGAGGTCCACTGAATACCTCCTCTTGAAATCTGGCTTTCATGTATGATGCAATGCAGTCTGTTAGTTCCATTTGCCATCCATGGGGGGTTTTAGACATGTCTTGCATAGTATTCATGCTTGGGGTGGATGAGGTCAGAGTTGTATAGTGGGTGAGCCACTTGCAGCTTGTTGGAAAATTATGGCATGTCAGGATGCTTGCCTCAATATTTTGCTGTGATCTGATCAATATGTCGTGACACTATATGTGCTATTGATGTTGGGCCTGTCTTATGTCATGACAGGGGTGGATCTTACTAGATGGACCTGTCCTTGTTTTATGGTGATATAAAAGATATTACTGAAGGGCCCATCCATACATTATGACCATATAAATAATACTGCTGAAGGGCCTGTCCTTATGTTGTGACCATATAAATGATACTGCTGAAGGGCCCTTCCAAGCAACATGTATGCCTGTTGCAACATAAAGATGGGCCCATCAGTAATATCATTTACAGTGTCACAACACATAGATGGGCCCATCCTGTAAGATGCACCCCTGTCACAACATATGGACAGGCCCTTCCATAATATCATTTATACCATCACAACACATGGGCAGGCCCATCCATAGTAAGATGTACCTGTTGCAACATAAAGACAGGCCCTTCAATATATATCATTTACAGGGTCACAACACATGGACAGGCCCATCTAGTAAGATGCACCCATGTCACAACATAAAGATGGGCCAGTCAGTATTATCAATTATGTTGTCACAACAGATGGACAGGCCCATCTAGTAAGATATGCCCCTGTCACAACATAAGATGGGCCCATCAGTAATATCAATTACATGGTCACAACACATGGATGGGCCTGTCAATAGCAACATGTATGCCTGTCACAACATAAAGATGGGCCCATCAGTAATATCATTTACAGTGTCACAACACATAGACAGGCCCATCAGTAATATCATTGATGGGCCCATCCTTATGTTGGGACAGGGGTGTATCTTACTAGACAGGCCCATCTATGTGTTGTGATGCTGTCAATGATATTACTGACAGGCTCATCCTTATGTTGTGACAGGCATACGTCTTGCTATGGACAGGCTTGTCTATATGTTGTGAAAGGGGTATATTATCCCAAAGATGGGCCCTTCCATATGTTGCCAACTCTGTAATCTATCATAGAGGGGCCCCTCTTTATGTTGTGGCCCTATAAAGCATATGATGGGTGGGCATGTCCATATGTTGCAACCTTCTTCATGATACAATAGGTGGGCCCATCCTGATATTGTGACTGGGTGCACCCTACCATGGACAGGCCCATCCATGTCTTACAGTAGCTCAGCATACTTACTTGGTCATGGGCCCATCTATATGTTGCAGCATCCTTCCCCTCCACAGGCCCTCCCATATGTTGTGGAATTGCACTTATGGGCCTGTACATATGTTGCTCTCACTATAGGCCCTCAGGCCTGTCCATGTGTCATGGCTAATCTATTTAGACAGGCCCATTGCAGGGTCTACATAAGTGTTGGCATTTTGGCATTGCAGGCCACCTATATGTTGTGACTAAATGGACTACATGGGGTCCATATATAACCCCCTGGCTGTTTTGACCAGAAACCTTGCAAGCAAGGTAATCACAATGCAGCACCAACCCAGAGTTTTTCCAGATCATTACTCTAGGCTTGTCCTTGACACATGTGATTCTCAACCTCCCCAAACTGGTTTATTCCCCACTGTGAAGAGGTCCACACAACCTTTGGGATGGAACATCAGAATGACATGGAAGCCTTCCAGCCATTAAGTGAACCTGACCACTGGAAGAGCATCACACAATGCCTGTTTTATTAAGTGGGATCTACTATACATATGACAATATAATTGATGAGTAAATCCACCAGCTCAGTCAGTCACTATTGATCAAGAAACACACAGGGAGAAAGCATAGTCACTACCTGGCTGTGTGTAGCATCAGGAAATTAACACTTTACTATTTTTGACCTTTTTGTGACTTTTTTTGACTTTTTTGTGACTATTGCGACTATTTGTGACTTTTTGGGAAGGAACCTACTATCTGTACTTTTTTTTTGACCATATACAGCATTTTGAAGAATGAAAAGAGAACAGAATCTATTGAGACAACTAAGTGATGATATATCTAAGCCAAGAAGACTAGAATATGTCTGAAAATTCAGAGATATTGAGCCATTGGTGTGATGCACACTGTCTAAGAGAAAAATCACAATATCTCTTTGGAACCTCCATCAATTTGAATGTATGTGGTATCTACTGAAAGCTATGAATTAGGTGGTTTGAACAAGGCCAAAATCAGCAAGAAAAGTGCAGCCATGCCTGCAGGACATGGGTAATGATAGTAGATTCCTTCCCAAAATGTCACATTAGTCACAAAAAGTCAAAAATAGTAAAGTGTTATTTTCCTGATTGAGTATTTCTCTACCTGGAACAATGGGGTTGTTACTCGTGCACGTCGCGCTCCTAATGCGCTGATCATGTTCTTGTCCAATTCTTGGACGACCAAAGCACGAAATCGAAAAGATAGAAACGCCGAAACGAGGAATTTGTGCGGGGTGCCATCGGAACCACACGTGCGGTAGCAGCCCATCTGCTGTCGGTCAAACGTCGAGGTTTCTCCATCTCGACCGCACTTCATCGGCTACGACCCACTAAGGAGTTGATTCCGGACAGAGAACCTCTGTTTCTGTTATAGAATTATTACCAGGTTGTGAGTGCCTTCGTACCTACCAGATATGTTTTTCCTTTCGGCCCTGGTATCAGGATAACGTACAAATGCTAGGTCAGATATCTCCCGGCAGGGTCGCTGAGCTTTCCATGTGCAGATCTTGATTTGTGATTGATCGACGGACAAAGCTGGCGGACGTATCCGGAGATATATCTTCTATTTTCGTTCAGCTTCGGTGTACCCCAAGCAAGCAGTCGATTTTCGTGGCTTCCTCAGCTTAAATAAAGTTAAGTGTCAGCGCAGCAATAAGATGGTTGGCCTGTTGCGAATATGGTACTTCGACTTATGTGCGGGTGACCTCAACGACTTCAGAGTGGACACTTACATTTAGTTCCAAGAGTTCGTAGGGAATGTAATCTTGTCAAACACAATTCATTTCTGCAACGAAGAATGGGTTGATATCAACACAAGTTATAGGGCCCCACTCCAAGGAGATAAATGCAATAAACCCTCCTCCAGTGCTCCGTCATTTAAATACGTGATGCTAATGCGCACTGCTACTAGCTAGCGGGCGTAAGTATCTTCGGTTATAGTACTGGGTTGGTAGTTTGAATGAGTTTCGTACTGGTTCAAATCGTTGAAAGTAGTCCTCATTGCCCATACAATCAGACATAGTGGTGAGCAAAGCCACCAAAATATGTATATTTATCATTCCCTGTGACACACTTGTACATGGCAGCAGCGAACGAGGGAGGCAACAAGAGAACGAGATACGAGAGAAAGAGAGTAGGGGAGCGCATAGAACAGCGATCGATCGAAATAGTATTACAAGAGGGCGGTAGAGAGTAAAAGAGAAATGGGAGCTGTTGGAGAGTTAGCTCAGCTATGCGCGTATGCTCACCGTGGGCAGTTCAAATGTACTTCTCGCACATGCCTCAGCATACCTGACCGTCTGATGGATTTCGGGGGGCTACACCAGTGGCAGAGGACTTTGAAATGTCTCCCTTGCTGCCTGATCCCATGAGCGATGGCCAGGTGTCGCGCGCAATCGTATGTAATGGATGTATTACATCTTGTACCATTCTCCTTAACCCATCCACACGGGCCGCGTACACATCTAAGAGGCCAGCGTGCAGAAGGTAGTTTCATTGTGGGTGCCATCGTTCCACGATCGTCCATGGGAGTAAACTGTGCAACACTTCGATGAAAGAGAGTTTCAGCATGTACATTCCTCGAGCTTCTAAACAAAAACAGTGAATTCTCGGGCGTTTGAAGAATACTCACCTGCCCTGTTGGGTATACAACCCAGAACGGTGCGATTTCATCACAGCTTGAGCAGCAATCGGAGGAACCAATGGCAAGACCATGTATTTTGAAAGGTCCCCATTTCCCTCCTGATCTAATAAATATATCAGCCCGTCAAGTAGTCCCAAAGCACATGGGTGAGTGGGAACGAACGAACCGTCCGAGTCGAGGACCTCGGCAGTATGGTCCTGCATGCTCCAGTGGTCGCAAAGGGATCCGGTATTCATAAATTGTGTGAGGGAGTCCAGTTGCACGTTGTAAACCGGAATCTCGTAGGACTGGTCGGACTCGGAAACTAGAGTCGAGTGATTTTGCTGATGTGGCTGCCAGGATGATAATATTTCCAGGCCTGAATATGGGCCAGGACGACCATATCTTTGATAAGGGATTAATACGAGTTACAGGTCCCAGGGAAATGGCGCCTACCCTGATATCGAGGAAGTACACTGCAATCCTGGATCCTCGCCAGCAAGGGGGTCGTGTACTATGCCATGCACCATGTGGGTGAGAAGGCAATCCCACTGCGAACTATCCAGGCCCTGGGAAAATTGCTGTGCTGGGGCTTGCGATATCACGTCGCTCGAGGGCGACGCCGAATAGAGTGGATTGTTGTCCATGTGAATGGCACAGGCCAATGGTAGTTGAGACAAAGAAGTGAAAAGAGTGAAATTTATAGAGCAGTCAGATGAGGGGATCGACATACTGCAACGTTACATATAAAAGCGAGTGAGTGGGAGCTTCTGACAGTGTCCATTCGACCAAGTCGAAGTTGGGGGCATCGCAGCACACCACGCACCCGCATGCAACGGGCCGAACATACCGCAAGAAGCGGCAAGCCCATGGCACCAAAAAGGCGTCCGGACCCTGCCACTCGGAACAATGACAACTTATATGAGTGTAAATATCCCATGTCCATAGCGCACAGCGCTCACCTCTATTGAACTTAAAACCGAAGGCGGCCAATGCAGATGAAGGTAAGCTGACGTCAAGTGCTGTGGAATCATAATACGTTACCCATAAGAAGAACGTGATATGCTAAAATGAGGTGTGGCAGCACCAAACGTCAAGTAAAATGAAAAGGGGATCGGCTGATAACGGACCGCCCGTTAGATTGTGAAGTTGGCATGCTCGGAGCGAATCGGGGAGGAATGGATAGTATCAGGCCACTCTCGGGATCTGGTCCAAAGTTGAGTTCATGCAATAAAGTTAACAGCGGAGCTGACATCGATCCGTGACATGTGCTGTATATTCAATCGCCACGAGACCTCCGTGTTGCATCTAAATAATATAGGTTAGATTGTTCTCCGACCAACTAACACAATCAAGGCCTAGGCATCGCATACAATGAAACTCACTGTTCAACTTCGACCTTGAGTAATACTGCTTCCATCCCTTGGAAAGCCTTTATAATGTCAGTTGCGCACATGGATTTGAACATAGAAGGGCACGTCGCCGCAGCTATCATCCGCACAGCACCATGGCGCAGACAAGTCAGTCTTCAAGGAACAACTCGGTTGACCACATCCCAGCCCTGAAGTTCTCCGACGCGAGGTACACTTTTGACACCTTCAGAATCAGGAGGAATGATGGGGGACTCATCCTAAACCCGTTCCAATGAACCGCACCAAATCAGCGTATCTTAACGCTTTTCCATGTTATGGCCCTTGGAAGCGTCGAGGTAACACCGGGGACCTGCCGGACATAGTGCACGGTCTTGAGCTTGACTCGTGACCACAAACAAGACCCACGGTATTTGTCTCTATTTGTTCACGTTGCGGGATGGACTTCAGCGGAACAGAACCTTGCCCTTGTGGTGTCATTTCTGGGTAAATATGCAATATAATGTGGCGTCTCGTATTACAGCAGTTATCGACAGTACGTGAAACCGTATGAGCGTAAACCAGTAAGTTGGGTTCATGGACCTATGCATTGCAGCCAAATCGGTTTTTCCAGTACCAGAACTATGGTAATTCAGTGAGGTCGACAGCTGTTTGCCTTAAGGCGCGGAACCAAGACCGCAGTATAGCTGGTAGATCAGTGCGATCGAGCCGATCGTCCGGTACTTGCGTTGAGGCCCCCGGCAGTTGAGTCATATACCTACACTTATCACGTTATTCCTCGGTGAAGTAGAGTAAATGTTACAGATGCAGCGTCATACGCCAGGGCGTCTTGATAACACAGCACAGTGGCAAGACAATAAAGTATCAGGCTCCCTGTGCCAGCTGAATGTACCTTGTCCAGATTCTAGCTGATAAGAAGATAATTTATCCATTCCGCATTGTGATTGATTACCAAAATAACGCAATATCGCAGAAGTTACTCTAAATCACATAGTAGCTCTCAGATTCATCAAAGGCCATCAATTCACCTCTTTCCATTACCGAGTAGCTACAGCTTATAATTACAGCTAGTTTTGAAGGCTGGCGCTGAAGCGGTGGAGTGCACAAATTATAAATGCCCCAGACAGAAGGACACAAAAGTCACGTGTGAGTTTCTAATACAGGATACTTCCAGACGTGTCTGTCTCCGTTGTACACCGGACAAAGACCACTGCACGGACCAATAGCCCAGCTTCTTTCACATATGGTTTTGAACCGGATTTATTCACCACCGCTCTTCGAGAGAGGTCCACACGACCTCATCAGCGTGGCACGGACATAGGAAGTTTCCGGTGGTCCGACCCCGGCAAGAGTATTGCACGGCGCGTGCTTTATTTCACGGGATACCAATATCTTACTTCTAGTACGTACGGAAATATCACTAGTTATTGAATCCACTGCACTAGTCTTTGTTAATCAAGGGACACGTAGAAACCTTCAGTGGGAGAGCGTGGTGACCACACAGTTGGGAGAGTGCATACCTCTCTGAAATTTCCCATGGAGTGATGAAGATTCGTGGCTCATGCACTTTGTCTCTTCACGAATCAATCCGTACCTAGGCAATTCCTGGAGAAACCGACTCCGAAACTGAGTTCCTGAGATCCAAATAGAGCGCCTAGACGAAGCAATTGTGCGAAGTGCTGGCCAGCGATGGCATTCACAAGGATGGAATCTGTTGTCCGCCTTAGAAAAGTAAGTGGCGGGACTCAGGTAGGTAAATATGGTAATCGTGTATAACGACAACTCACAAGCAGTACGTGATACTAACTCGCACAGGTGGTATGGCGCCGTGGAGGCCTATCCCTTAGAATGACATCTAGTGCTCTGTTGCAAGTAACAAATTCAGAGCACCACTACCATCCTGCTGGGTGACTACCTCTGCAAATATGCTTGACACACCATGTATACTGAGGGTGCGGTTTGATTCTCGGCTTCGTAGAACTTGGGCTAATATACAAAAGCATCGTGTTCACCCAGTCTTTCTCCTGCGGATCGTGGTTCTTTATGTCTTTCGCTTTGTCTTTAATTCTATCCAGTCGACTCCCCCAGAGCTCTGTGGCAATCCCAGCTTAATTTTTATCCCTTAAACATAAACCCCTCTCAGATTGGCGTATAATTCTCTCACATCTTGGGCACCTTTCTCCGTTATGGGAGACCCCCTGATTCCTTTGTTACTTATCTAGATTGCTGAATTCAGCGCCTGGGGAACGAAATGAGTTCTGAAGACTCGGACAAAGGTATGGGGTGTGAAGCGATTCGTGTTCTGCACAAAGCAGTAGAGCCGGTCTGCCATATTGAAGTATGTGACTATGTTAGTTAGTGCGAATTAACATCTTAGCTTGCAGCTGATCGGCAGGCACCTAGACAACGCTGGTAGAAGTACCCGGAAAAAATATATTCGTTCAGCTTCTGTATACTCTAAATAAGCATTCGAATTTCGTGGCCTCTTCAGTGTAAGTTGAGCGTCAATGCAACATCAAGGTCACTGTCCCGCTTAGATTCAATGGTCTATGTATTTTGAATGTAGGCGTAGATGACTTACGTCGGCCTACATGTGGGTGAGCTCCCTTCAACTCAATTCTAAAAAATCATACAGGAACACTGTCTTCTCTCTGCAAGATAACTCCTTCGTGCGACGAATATCCTGGGTCATTATTATCATAAATTGTAGCACCTCACACAAAGGAGATAAATGTGATGAACCCTCCTCACCCTCTCCGGAGCATCGTATTTTGTCTTCTAAGACGTTTATATCCCATGGGAGTGGTTGGCGATTAAAATAAGTTTTGTGCACATTCGATCCTTGATGATATATAATTCATACATTCAAACGCAAAACCATCAAAACGTGTAAAATTATATTCACCGTTTCACGTGACACATGCTTGTACATGGCAGAACGAGGATAAAAAAGGAGTGAGGAAATGAGAGAGTGAGACGAGAAAGACACAGAGAGCGAAAGCAGGAGATAGCAAGGGAATGAAATAGTATTACAAGAGGGCTGGAGTGAAATGAAGAAAAATGTTAGAGAGGTAGCACAATTATGTGCACACGTTCGAGCGTGAGCATTCCAAGTGAACCTCTCGCACGTGCCTCAGCATACTTGACCGTCTAATGGGCTTCGGAGGGCTGCACCAACAGCAAAGGATTTTGAGATGCCTTTTTCGGTGCCTAATACCATGAGCAATGGCCAGATGTCGTGTACATTCGTACGTGATGGATGTATTACATCTTGTGCCATCTTCCTTAATCCACCCACAAGAATGGTGTACAGCGCGCTTAAGATGCTGGCGTGCAGAAGGCGGTTTCATTGTGGAAGCCATCACTCCACGATTGTCCACGGAAGTAAGCTCGGCGACACTTCGATGACAGAGTTTCAGCACGTAAATTCCAAGAAAAACCAACTAATCCTCAGGCGTCGGAAAACGCTCACCTGTCCAGTTGCACACATAACCCAGGACAGTGCGGGTTCATCATTGCTTGCTCGGCAACCCGAGGAATCAAAGGCGACCTCGCGTACTTTGAGACGTCCCCATTTCCCTTCTGACCTAAGAAAGATACCAGCCCATCAAGTGACCCCAACGCATGTAGGAGAGCGGGCATAAACGAACCAATTGAACCGAAGATCTCGCCACTGTGGTCTTGCGTGCCCCAGTGGTTACCAGGTGATCCAATATTCATGAATTGTGTGTCGGAGCCTAGCTGTGCGTCTGGTTCATTGTAAACAGGAACCCAGCAAGTCTGGTCAGACTCGGGAACGAGCGTTAAGTGATTCTTCAGATGTGGCTGGGAGGACGTCAGCACCTCTCTGTCCGGTTGCGGGGCAGGATGACCGCCCCTAGTGGAAGTTAATATAAATAAGGCCCCTCAACCAACGGTGCCTACCCTGACCCTGCAAAGGTGCATTGCAATCCTGGACCCTCCTTTCCAGTAAAGAGGGTGTGTTCCACACCCTGAAACGTGTGGGAGAGGAGACAGTCTGATCGCGAACTATCCAAGCCCTGTGCAAATGAGCAGGACGAGGCTTGCGACATCACACTGCTTGGGCACAACGTGGAATAAGATAAAATGTCGTCCATGTGGGTGACGCAGGCCAATGGTGGCTGAGGGAAGGAAGTGAAACAACGTGCCCCAGTGGTGCACACAGAAGCGAGCAGATGACCATCCCTCAGGCATATATATACCACCTCCAAATTATTGGTACTGTGCGTGAAATCTGACTGGTACAGCTCCGCTACATACCTGACCAAATGACCAACCTATGATGCCTATATCCAGCAGTGGCATTACGCCCCAAACGCAAAGGAGGAGATTCTGATGTGCCTGGCGGGTAATGCGGATCAGAACGAGAGAATGCGGCAAAGTGTTGCCTATTTGAGATGTGCATGCCTACCGGGAATATATCAATTGCGCTGTTCAGTGGTCACCCTTACCATGAGGTAAACAGGTGGGCAGGATGTGTGCTACCGGTCCACTTGGAGACACCGAGGATTTCCTATGATGCGGCGGTGGAGGCTCCTCACAATATGACCATTTGATCAAGTAGCAGTTTGCGACATCGCGGTATACCACACACCTACCCTGCCGTCCAGGCGTGTTGCACGGATGCACATGACGCCGGAGTTATCCGGCTCCTGCCAATCGGCCTACCGACGGGTTAATGACTGCATGTCCCATACACATACGGGCGAGTCCTTTGCAACCCCTCTTGCTGTGGACCCATGATGGAACCTGTATTACTCACACAATGCTAAAACGAAGCACGACACGCTGTGTGGAAATGGCATACACAGGGGGAAATGGAAAAGGGTACATAACGGGGGTGATGTCGACACGCTCTGATGCAACCGGCGTACAAGTGTCGTTAGGACTGGGGGTTTAAGTTCTGCGATAAAGTTATCAACGGCGTTGACTTCAATCCATATGTGCTGTATATTTGAATAAAACAACGTCAGTTGATTGGAGGAACCTCTGTGTTAAATAAAATGTCAGATTATCCGCCATGCAACCAGTCCAGTCACTGGCTGGACAGCGCGTAGAACGAAACTCGCTTGTTAGCTTCAAGCAAGACTGCCATTTGGAAACCTTTTATGATGTCAATCGTGCACACGAATTTGGGTAGAGAAGGGTAGTACCTTTGAGTTTGGTCCCAGCAGGGTCATCCACACAACACCGTGGCGCAGGCCTTGGTTTCCCTTGTAGAAAGACTCGGATATCAACTTAGAGCTCACCATCGGCGAGTGCACTTTTGACCCTTGGAGAGGCTTCCTTAGCCCGATGTGATGACAAACTTTTTCTACATCCGGTTCAGTCAATCGCACCACTTGATCAGCATACCTTGATGCTTTGTGACCTTCGGAAGCATCAAGGAAAATCTGGGGGCTCGATGCGGAGCATGATCTTGAGCTCGGATCTTGGCTACAATTCAGGTAGCAACTACTGTTGGAGTGAAACGACCCCTGTCCTTACTTGGACTTAGGCACGTGATCATGTCGCTTACATAAGCTGTTAGAGCGCACCCATACACTAGTAAAATTTACCTGGTCCCTCAGTAGCTTGACAGACTACTGAGGTTCCCTACAGATTCCTCTCTGGGTTTCCCCTCTGCAACCCCACAAACTTCTTCAACTACTAGTAGTAGTTTGCATGGGTGATGTGCCAAAAATTTTGCACATCACAGTTCACACATGCACATAACATACTGTACATATTTGTCTCTGTGGCGCACTATCTGGAACTCTCCGTCGTGGAAAGAGCGAGCAGAGCGGGGCCAGTCCGTTTGGTGATATTTTTAATTAAATTATGAATATTATAATAATAAATTTTTTCTATCCATGCATGTTGATTAGTATCTAAAAATTCTATGGTGTGGCGCTTGGACTTTGGCATGTATCACCACAGCAGTCGTTGGTAGTGCATGAAATACTGCATGAACGCATACTAGTAAGTTGGGTTCTAAGAGTATGGACGAATGCAGTAACAACCAAGTCGTTTTTTTTTTTGAGTTCAGTGCGACACCGTGATCGACCGCGGGTTTCCTTACTTGAGGCTTAGAACTGGAATCGTGGTACTTGGTAGATCTGTGAGATCAATCCCAATTGCTAGGTATCTGCGTTGTCCCCGCAGTTGAGTTTTATCGCATTTTCATTTATGTACTTGGCAGTTTCAGGATAAAACTCCATACAACTACAGCTAGCCTAGAGGCCACTCTGGATATGCAGGAGACCACAGAATTTGAAACCAGAGTATATGGCGTATAGACAGGCGTGCCATTCGCTATTATAGATGGCGGCCCATCCGTAACAGCAACTACTGGGGCAGCGAGCGCGATCCACACCTGTATCATGTATCACAGCAATTATGTCTTGTTCAAGTGAGTGGAGCTCCTTTGTCGGCGGCGGGTAGTATGGATGCTCTTTATCAGGCAGAATGCACCAGCCACCATACTGAGGGGAAATCTCACAGCTGGCGAACATATGTAAGACCAGATAAGACCTCTGTTTCATATGTTCACGATCTGTGCATCTTCAGATGAGCACAACAGAACCGGAGGCACCTACCTGTCAGACCGCAGTTGAGGTGTGTCCTCGAAAAATCGAAATTTCACTGGTAACCCGTAAATAACAAGGAGAATGTGAAGTGCATAATACAAGAGAAAATTGCCTACCTGTGCCTAGATACGCAAGCCTCCTTGCACTGTACACAGGGATATCACTTGGAGAAAATGAAAACAAGCTGTCAAGCGCTTTGGCAATGATCCATTCGGGTCGGCCACAAATCAGAACCAGCAGCCGGTCCCGCAGTGCAAGGGCCAAGCTGTGCATGAATCTACTACTAGGACAGACTGATTCCATCAGAAAGTTCTGCGTCGGAGGTCCCCGGTCAATCTATCGCAATAAATACGCCACCTGACGGCCTAAGTTACGAATCTTGCGTGTGACGATGAGCAACTCCGATTGTATTGACCAAATGTAAGGAGCCTTGCTGTATGGGAGGGCCCTCATGCAATCATCGTTGTCATGGAATAATACACACACATTACACTTGAATGCTGCCAACAGTACACATCATCTTTCAAGAAGGCCATCGACCCATACCTACCCAAGCAATTCCCTAAACTCAGGTCCCCACTGCTCATTCTTTCTGATATCCTCCACCAATACCTCGAGCTTCTGCGACCCACCCGTCGTGTTAACACCCGCAGCATTCCCGACCGCGACGACCTTAGCTAGCGCAGCGACAGCCCGCATCGTACTTCTCCTCAGCTCGGCTGCACGTTCAAGATCTTGTTTTACCGTGTCCTTGGTCACTGGCGCACCTTTCATCGTCGTTTCGAGTGGTGGCGTCAGCGCGTCGAGTCGTGCAAGCAGTAGAGGAACGCATAATGGGATAGACGATAACCGTCCGATGAGTAAATGCGCGAGGACCTTGATTTCATCTGACGGATCCGACAACGCCGGGAGGAGATACGTGAGGAACGTCGGAAGATCCAGTTTATGAAGGCATGTGTCCAGCTACGTAAGTATCGTTAGCGATGCGGCATCCCCTATCTTCCGAATAAACATGACATACGAGCGTATATAGCGTCTCCCACGCCGTCTTGCGCGCATCCAAGCCCTCGTCAACTTTGTGTTGCCACGGGCCCATCTGGACGGTCCGAATAAGGTCCGCTTTTACGACCGTCTCCGAGTACAACGTCTGTAGCAGCGCAGGTAAGTGATCTCGTACGAGATGCACCTTCGTACGCGCAGCTGAGTTGAGAGCAGACAACGCGAGACGACGGACGGTCTATCAACGCACAAACGGAATAAGTATTATCACGGCAAACAAACCAGACGCCGAGACGCACCAAATCCGAATCCTTCATCAAGCTCAAGAAATCCATTACTAGTGGCGCAAGTGCCTCATCATACGACGGCGAGCTATCCGCAAACGTATACCTGATCGCCGAGATTACCGTCGCACGTATCGCGGGATTTTCGGCCCGGATATGCGCATGAAGTTGAGGGAGGTACCGACCAGGGTCCGTCGTCGTGAGTTTTCCTAGACACGCAGCCGCAACATTGCGGGTTGACTCTTCGGCGTCGGACGTAGAGTTGTTGAATAGAGGCATCCAGAGTTGATCTGCTACAGGCTCGAGTTGACCATGCGAGCAGTGCGTTACGACCTGCAACGTGTTTTGATGCCCATCAGCAATCGTCCACGCGAGCATCACGAAAGTCAGCAATAAGTACTACAACGCACTTCTTTCAACGCGTGTAAAGAGAGTAACCGTTTCAAGGGATCATTCTCCGCGATTTTGAGTATCACAGGTAAAAACAAGTGCAAATTCCCGATAGCAATATTCCCTGATACGCGAAACGCGTCAGCCACGATACGCACAGCTTTAAGAACGGGATACGTACCTGCAGCAAAGGCAGCAGCAGTTCTGACTCCCTCTTCCTCGGACGAAAAATGGTCGATCACGTTGTTGAATACATCTTGTTGAGGGGACATATCACTAAAAAGAAAAATAAGGGTTTCGAGTGGGTATGAGCGAGATTGTAGCAGAGTGGAATCAAGTCCGAAGGACTTACATGAATCGCCCCAACTCTCCAAGAATAAGTAAACTCAGCGCCACACTCGACGTCTTCGCCTTTGAACTCTTCTAGAAAAATTAGACATACGTCACCAACCTTATCACCTCACGACCACACTCAATCGAGAGAGAGAAAAATGCCGCGAACCTTGATGTACTTCGAATATTCCGCAATCGTACCTGCGGCGACCCCTTGCTGACTTCTTACCACCTCGCCTACGCATTTTGCTACATTCATCGAATTCACGTCGCCCTTCCCGCCTGATTTCTGAACTGCGATCACAAGCCCGGGTACTACGTGCGTTGCAATTTGATCATCAGCTTCTACTAGCGCTGAGAAGAACGACAATAATGCGTCTAGAGCAGCACCCGATACGAGTGGAGAGTGCGCGATGGGGTAGATGTCGCTCAACAGGTCACGCTCGATCGGGGGGAATGAGGTCCTGGGAGCGAGCTCGAGTAAAAGCGCGAGGATGGAGAGCGCTTGAGACAAGACGGAGATGTCCGATGTGCCGATGTAGACCTTGATCTGCGAGACGAGAGACGGTGGAAGATCGGCGGGCATCCCAGATTGGTATCTTTGAATTTGGATGAGCACACGTCGAATGTCGACGGACCCGTCATCCCGAAATAAATGCATACATACCTTCTGACCAGTGTATCAAGCGCAGTAAACAACTCCGTCTTTCCACCCCTTCCGCTCTTCTTCAACAACCCCGTTACCCACTCTACACACCCATTCACCCAATCGTCGCTCATCTCCACGTCTCTCGCCACCTTGGTAACCACTCTCACAGCCCCTGTGGTATTGCCCGTAGTGCGACATATTGCTTGCCACTCCTTACCCTCTTTCGCTCTGATCATATCCGTTACACAGACCCAGAGATCTGCGATGCAATCTTCTGCGCAACTACGTACCTCTGCGTCGGTATCGGTGGTGCTGAGACGTTGGATAGCGTGGTCGTACACCCGCTCAGGCCAGTCACCATTCTTGACAGGTCGTGTAGCATTTAAAAGTGCAGAGAACGTGCGAAAGGTTTCGGATGCGACGCGTGGGTGACGTTCGCCAAGTGACTTGAGAAGTAGAGGGACAAGTACCGGGAGTGACGACGTGAACACCGGTGGCGGGTGTGTTGAGAAGAAGAGACCCAAGAATGAAAGACATGTGAGATGTAGCGTGGATGTCGTCGTCGTCGGTGACTGCGACAAGATGCCTTTGATCGTTACGACGATCGGCGACACCTGGGCGAACAATGATCCGGGCAAAACGGACAACAACGTATTTAAGACTTGGAATCCGGCTTGGAGCGTCGCCGGGGCGGTCTTGGAAGCCTTGAGTTGGGGGAGCAAAGCTTTCGATAGAGCGGGAATCTGTGATTTGAGGAGGGTATACGGAGTCTCCTCTACGTCCATGCTATCCTCACTCTCGCGCTTCCGCTTCCCGCCTACGACATGTTCCACGTCAGAAACCTGTGACAACCCGCCATACATGCTCGTCTGGTTGAGAAGAGCGATATACGTCGCCCAAACTTCGAGCCGAACGGTCTCTTCTCGATCTCCGAACCGCGATATGAGAATTGGTGATACCTCCTTATACAGGGGAACGAGAAGTTCAGGTCGGGTGACGATTACGGAAGCTAAGAGTTTCGTTGCGGCACGTCGGATCTTGTATGATGCATCCTCGTCGTCGGAGTACCTACACTCACCGTCAGTAAGGGCAAGCACGAGATATAGACTTGACTGACTCATCATCCAAGTCCTCGTCGTCCTCATCTCCATCTGCTTCTGCCATTTCCTCGTCCTCGTCGCCTCCGGTATAGTTCTTTGTAATAGTGAACACAACGCAAGGAGTTGTTTGAATGAACGTACGGGGTCATATTTGATATATTGTATGCCAGTCTGTATGATAGAAGGCAAAAACGGTGTTGCTTCAGCCGAGGATCTCAACAAGAGCGTTTCGAGCGCCTAGAGCAATATCAACTACATGGGGTGCACCACATTCGCTTTCACTTACTTGCAGACACCCTTCACGTAGCTCGTCATCGTCGCGCCTCACGGCCTTCAGTATCCCGGGTATAATCCGGTCAAACGAGGACGCAAGTTGTTGTGCGGACTGTCTCAGAATCGCAGACACGAGATTTGCAGTCGTGCGTTGTTGCTCGAGGTTCGCGCCCGCTTCAAGGTATGGTAAAATATTTATTTCGAGAAGTTGCGTGCATAGATCAGGCGGTGATACAGGGAAGAATTGCGACAATGCTGAAATGGCGCGTTTTCGGACGGCTGGGCGGGGATGATTCAGGAGAGGAGCGATTGCTGTGAGGGGTTGTGGTTTGATTTGAGAATAGGAAAAGTGGGCCGGGAAACGGGCGATAAGGATGGATAACGTCGAAAGGCTTTCGATCAACGTGTCTGGTGGCGTGTCGGGCTGGGAACGAGGATGGTACGGGAGCGCGCACGGCATACAGAGGTGGATAGGCTCACATTTAAGACCTGGTTGAGTAGTTTTGGTGCGAGTTCAGAACATGCTTTTCCTGCGATCTTTCCGTCTGGGGGTAGTTCCGAGGTAATCGTCTTCAGAGCTGGGAAGTGGCGTCTCGATATGCGATGCTCCGTCTTTTAAATCGGGGCAGACTCACCCAGACCGGATATATCTCTCAACTCCTCGTCCTTTCCAACTAGAAACTGAATGAGGGCTTCCACGACAAACTCGACCTGACCCTCTCGCATGATCTTGATCAGCTGACCGAGACTGCAGCGGGCGGGACACGGACATCACACAGTGCAAGCGGTATCACAACGAATCAGCTGAGCACACAGAAATGTGGGGTTTGATGGCGGGGAGAGGGGACGTACCATTTCACAGCCTGATTCTTGACTTCGGATATCTTGTCCTCGACGAGCTTAAGTACCTGACGAAGGACCTTGTTCTCGACAGACTCTTCACCGAGGAAACTATTCGGATCCTGCTTGATCTCGTTCAAGAGATCGTTCAGTCCCATGAACCTGGACAAAGGGTATCGTCGCCATTGGGGTGTGTGTGGAGTCGACTGACGTACCTGAAGTCCTGGTCCGGGGACTGCATCTGGGTGGTTTCTGTAAGATCGAACATGTGCTATCTGTAGTCGTATGTACCTTTTCTATGAGACTGTTCATCAGATATGTCTTGGTCATGGTGGTGGTGGTGGTGGTGGTGGTGGTACGATGATCAAAGACAGGAGTGAGTGAACAGCGTCTGGCCAGGTTATTCCTAAACGATCATATCTACACACATCTGTACACACACATAGCATCTGCCCATGGACCATCTCATCCTCCCCGATGGCGCATCACCGTACATTATCGTGCCATACAAATGCACCGAGAGCTACGACGGAGGCGACTTCCTCACTTACCCAGAACGCAAAGGCTGGACCAAAGACATCGAAGATTACGACTTCAGTCGACGAACTCCTGCCGAATTGAATGCATTCTTTCAGACATGGCTATTTTTTGGATGCCTCACAGAGGTCCTGAAAGCTGGCAGGTTGCAAGTTGATATGAGCGACTTTATAGACACGACGTCGAATACAGTCACCACAAAAAAGCTCCCACAACTAATCGTTCAATGGAGGTCGCTCTGGCCCACGTCCAAGGGCGTTGCAAAGGCATGCAAGTGCAGATCTACGCAAAATATTGCACCATACGAAGAAGGATGTGGACGCAAGCGATGCTGGCAGTCCGTCGTACGCGATCGTAACTCCAGCGCTCTTCGCACTACCCGCATGATCCTCCGTACGGTCTTTCGTTTCATCGACCTCATATGTGGTATCAAAGGAAACGACACTGGTGTTGACGAGGACCAGGCCGTCCCACCCATCACTCCGCTAGACCCAGAGATCGCTCTGTCTATTTCTGCCCTTGGATCTACACTCCTTAACGCTTCCAACGTCGTGTATGAATGTCGTTTTGAGGAGCTGGGGTGGGGAGGCACTGCAATAATGAAGGAACGTTTTCAGCAAGCGAACTGGTGTCCATCGCGCATAGCGATGACTATATTTCGAATAGGCATCGAAGGCCTATACTTCTGCGCTGCAAATCCTATGAAGGAGGCTGGTGATCATTCAAAATGCAGCACCAGGAGATGCGTGGCACAGACTGTAGACGAGGACCACTACCCTACAAGGCATGTCCCGGGTTGCTCCTGCGAAGCCACCGGAGTTCCGCTGGAGGAACTGCTAGATATCATTCGGCAGGGTGATGAGGGCCACACGCCGGTCGTGACCTGGGCGGAAGGAACCGATGGATTGCCGGGTCGAGCAGTGATCTCCGATGCGTCCGCTGTGAACTTATTGCCCAACTCTAATGTTTGTAGATACGTCGCGATTTCACACGTGTGCGTCTTTCCTGCTGGCCTGGAATGCACTGCTACTAGCCTAACCCCAATTTACAGGTGGTCTGAAGGACTAGGAAATCCGACCGGAAATACACTTCCCATCTGTCAGATATCGCGAATCCAAAAGATGGTCGACGAACTCTTTCCGGATCGTGGCGTTGACCAGCATGTTCCATTTTGGATGGATACTTTGTGCGTTCCGGTAGGTGATAATTTGAAGGAGTATCGGAAGAAGTGCATTATCAGAATGCGGACAATATACCAGGAGGCGGCAGCAGTCCTTGTTCTCGATGTCGGGATGCAGGAGGTCTCTTCGTCGGCTTCAATCCCGAATCGTGCTGTTGCCCTTTTTCAGTCAGAATGGTGGCGGAGACTCTGGACATACCAAGAGGGCATCCTTGCCAATCGACTTTATCTTCGGCTCAGCGATGGAGTACAGGACGTGTATGCGATGGGCGGAGAGCTGCAAGAATACTACACGGAGCTGGAACAACGTGGCTATACCAGCACTACAATGCATTCTTTGGATGTTTCTATTTACTTCGGCTTAGGGAGGTGGTATACCGCCAACGAACACAAGCGTGACATATATTTTCTCCCAATGAGCGACGCCATTTCGAACCGGAGGACAACGAGAGGCTCTGACGAGACTTTGTGCTTGCCCACAGTTTTAGGTATCCACCCGGCGCCCTTTCTGAGGATTGAAGGCCAGATGCCTTTTCTCCTCCGCTGCATCGGCAGCTTTGGCCGTCGAATTGTATTCAACAACTTTCCGCGTTTCAAGAGGGTTGTTCAGGCTGGGATTGAAGCCCAAGTTATCGACCGCAGGATGGAATTGTTCCTCCACTACATCCGAAAGTTCGCTCGTGGGATCATTTTCAACAGTTTACCGCGTTTGAAAAGGGATGGTTATCGATGGGCACCTCGCTCGTTGCTGGGCAACTCGTACGCACCTGATGTTATGGGGGCGGGCTACAATATCGTAGGTGTAGATCATCCAGCCTATGAGGCCGTTTTGCACACCGATCGCCGTGGTATCGAGGGGTTGGTCGTACGATACCCCGGTATGTGCCTGCAGCCTTTAGCAAGCCGTCATCCCACCACCGTCATCGTCGGGGACGGAGAAGTCCGTTATCGCATTCGCCTCCATCTGGATGAAACCTCAGATTTCTCTGGCTGGAATCACACGGCACAATATAACCTGGTTCTCGCACAAAAACCTGTGGCCGTCACGAACGTGCCTCAGGAGGAGCACCCAGTACTGGTTGAAGTAAGGGTACCGAGAGCGCCACGCATGGGGACGATGGCCTGTGCTGGGAACTCGCCTGGACCTCGATGGACGTCAAGAGCGCCGTGGGGACCTTCCTGGACTTGGTAGTAAAGTCATTAGGATACGGTATGTGTGTCGAGCGTGGGTTACCCTTATAGACGGGCACGAAGGTTTTGATGTGAAGGGTAAGATTTTACCTGAAGAATCGGTTGTTTGGTTTATGTTATGAAGGCTGCAGACGTAGACACATACTGCGTGAGTTAGGATGGGGGCTTCATCAGGAAGCGAATAGATGGTTTAAACCTGTTTAAACGTGTCACTGATTGGTCATGCTGATGTTATGCCACATATGGATCACTCTCTGCTGTGGTTTTCTTGGGACCTACCTGTCGTTCTCATCTTTTGACAAACATACACATGTTCACTTCATTTCTATGTCTGAAGTTGTCGCTGGGTACTGTTTCTTATGCATGTTGCAGACGGGAAGCCAAAGGGGCACAGTACATCGAACGAGGATGGTGTGGCCGCCTCAGAAGAATAGGCATTACTCGCCGTCCTCAGAGTCATCCGTGACGTGCATCTAATCCAATTCTCAGACTCTCCTGGCCACTAATTCACTATTATCACATTCCTGCACCCAGGCGTGTCCGCAACCTCTTCCAAGTTCCTCCTCTTCCCCTACGTAGGTACATGCTTCTATCTGTCCATGCGTTCGAGAGACCTGACATGACTTGAAACACCGAATCCGCTACTTGAGCTTCACACATATCCACTTCCACGGAACCTTGCCGCGCACCGTCCTCCTTCGTCCATGTGAAGGTGGACCTTATTCTGTGGTCATCAGACAACACCGACTTTCGCGTATTCAAGTTCTTCCTTTCCTTCTATTCGCCAGTCTCTAAAACCCACTTTGATCATCTCCGACGTTCGGAAGAAATGAGCATAGATGCAGAGATCAAGGATGGAATACTGGTCATCACTGTCTCAGAAGATAAGAAGACACCGGAATTTCTCCTCCACTTCTGCTATCCCGATCGCTGCACTCCGACAGCCCGTCTTACCTCCAAGTATTCCCTCGATGTAGCTGTGAAAACGGTGTGCAAATCTATGTTCTACCTGAGGATCTTGGAGGCAAACCCGAGGTGCTGCTTCGTGATTGCATGCGAGGCCGGTATGCGGGATGGGTGCATTCCTGTTGCCGAATACGCGCTCCGGGAGCCTGTGAATACAGCGTGGTTCGAAGAGCCTCAAAAGAACGAGCTCCATTTGTTATTGATGTATCGTAAAACATGCGGCATTGCTGTTCAGGTGTTGAAGAACGACATCTCTTGGATTGGTCGCCTATCCTCACTGGACAGTTGCCGGTCGGTAGGCATACTGGCGATGGTTGCTATGGATGTGCTGTTTCAACTTCAGGCAAATTCATGCTAAATGGACAAGCATGTACTCAGTGATGGGGGCCTGTATTAGATGGACTCCACTTCTTTGGATTTGTACGACTGGCCCTCCGGGACGACTATCTGGCTAAATGTCTACGTGGCGTATCGAACCATTTCAACGACACAATTACGGTTGTTGTTCTCCTGTGGCAGTGCCCCGGAGGGGCTTGGGAGAATTAGCAACTCCGATCTTCGTTGACCAAGTTCAGGAGACAATCGCGCAAGTGAGTTCTTTCCCCGAGATTTAAACCTCAACTAACCTGGTCACGTTGCAAGTCGTGCTAAACCGCTAAACCTAGGGTTTTCAAGAAACATGCAAAAAATTGTTTTTGCAAGTGGTTTTGTGATACGTGTTACAGAAGTGTAGACAACGATATTACACTAATGAATTGACCAAATAGTTTCATGCAGTAAATCATATAGGTAAATTCAATTATTCGCTCTCTGGCCAGCCAGCCTCCTTCAACAGTTTTCGTGTGTGCTGAGTGTCTGGTTTGATCTCGCCATTCAACGGAGCAAAGTACTTTCGAAATTTGGAGCTGAACACGACAAGCCAGAATAATAGACCTTCGCCCTGCAATCGATTATTTATTTATCTGATGGCTGCATATCAACGACGGACGCACTGACCTGTATTGTTCTGCCCAGCTTGGCCTGTCCGACGACTTTGCCATGATACCACCGCCCGCCTGTCGACTTGACCCACACCAAATCACCGCTCTACATGGCCGTCAGCACTAGAAACAATATATATATATATATATTGACATCGCCCATACTCACTTTGAACCGATACGGCCAAGGCTCATCCAGTTCATCTGGCTTGGCTTCGGTATAAAACGAATCCGCATATGTGCCGTCGTCCCACGTGTCCAGATCCACGGGCTGTAGCTTCAATGGTGGGGGTGTTCGCGGCATTAACTGCGGTCTTGACGGGCTTCCGTGTTCCATGGCAATAACGACTTAAATATCCGGCGAGTACGTGAAGAAAGATGCCATCAAAACGCTCAGGTTCGCTCTTTATATCATTCCCTTTGACCATCCTTAAAGAATGCCCGAGTCGGTGTTCCACACTGCCACATCCACAATCACAGCAGTACAAAGACAATGATATGTGTACGCTTTGAGTTCTTGATTGTTCTCCCCTACCTACCAGATCAGGAAATGGCCCATGATAAACAAAGCGTGACCTCGGACACGGGTAGCAACGGTGCAGTTATTGTTGTCAGTATGGGCATCTGTGTGACAGCCACACCAGCGTCGGTTGATACGGCATGGGACGTACGCCTACACTTCAAAAGGGATATGACAACCCTCTCTCCACTGCCCCCCCTCCACCTTTTTCGTCACCCACCCATCTAAATACCCAAGTAGCCCTTCCCCCTACCTCTTTCGTCCTTTATACCCTGCAATATCTCAGGGCCAACTCCCCACTGCACTCGCCAATCTCGTAGCAACTTCTATGCCCTCTTTGACCAGTTCATCCACTTTCACCCGGTACGTCCGAATTCTGAACACGATCGCACTCGTTCGAGGCAGTCAGCGCAGGGTTGGACGTTCGGTACGGAGACGCAGCGTCTTCGGAGAGGTGCGGGATTGGTGCAATGCCGTGACCCCAACCATCGGCAAACATGTCTTCCGGATCGTTATGGGTGAAGGAATAACTGAGCTCGTTCGAATCGACGTCCTCCGCTTCCTTCGTCGGCGAGACAGCCTGAATGGAGTAGTCTTCCACACGGCAGGTTTATCGACAGGTGAACGTTTGAAGAACCGATTCATGCTCATCTGCAGCTTCTGTTTGACTATGCGGTATTGTTCACGTTGAGGACCGCGTGCAAACAAGTTTAGGATCGCTTACATTGCGGCACGCCACCTGATATATGTATCTCGTCGAGGGGTATGCCGATATTGCCCCTCATACGCCAGAAACCTGGGTCACCGAAGAGGGTTGCCGTTCGGCATCGATGACACTCCCATCGTCGTAGCAGTAAGGCAACGTACGTACCCGGTATACAGATCAACCCAATCTGGAAGCAATACTTGCCGTCCGATCCTACATAACGGGTCGTGGTTATGCCAATGTAACCCCTGAGATCGCACACAGCGGTCACCTTCGATCATAAAAGCAAAATCGACTTGAGTCCTAAACCAAAGAATAGTTTAGAGAGCACATTGGACCCAGCCCGTGTCTCCACTCGAGAGAGAGAGGAAACAGGAAGTCGGCGAACGACTTACAATCAGCTAACAATTCTCAATGCATCCTATCCCATTCGACGGGCGCCATGCTATGCCAGGCCAGACGGATACCTTCGATGGTGGGTACATCGTCCTCCAGTGACGTAGAAGATGAAGGTGCGACACGCGAGACTTTGAGGGACGGAGGATACCATCTGGACAGGTACTCTGCAAGCTCGTACACAAGCTCCCCAGCTATACATACCGTCGTCGCAGACCAGAACTAACATCAAAATATGTAATCGAGACGGACCTGCCTCGGCACCGCTCGCAACACTCACACACTCAATGACCCTCTTTGTTGTCTTCTCCTGGACGCAAAGGCGGAAAGGACTGCGAAGGAAGAACTCGCAACACGCCATCGCCACACCTTCGTAAACGGGCATCCCGTATCCTTTGGTACGCCACAAATTCGGAATCGATTTCTATCCACTGGACCATGGCATCGATGTATGCCCATCGTGACGCTGCGAATCGGGACGGCACGAGTGTATAAGTGGAATGTCAAGTGCTGATGGAAGGATGGCGTTCACTCACTGATGTACTCCTCACCGAAAAGATCGGTATGGGATTGGGTGGATGTCTAGTACAGACTTGCAGGGCATAATATCGGGGTAGGTGAAACGTCGGGGTGTCCATTCTGATCAAGTATCCATCATTGTCGTTCGTCGTGGAGGAGGATGGTCGATATTTCAATGCCGTTGGCAATGGAAGGATGTCAGCATGTACTGCTACGCACCGCCGTGTGCACGATTCCTGTTTTCAACGTCTTCACTGTGTCCAACCTTCCTACGTGGTACGGTCGGTCGGGTATTGATATGAGTAGCGTCATCTTGTGAAAGCCATTTCCCATAAACCCAGTACGATAGTGAGAGGAAGACGAGGTCATTTATATAAGTGCGTCATGATAGTCGAACTGTTTCCGTCATCGTTCACACAGTCTAAACTCATTCATGGCTCCAGCCCTTACTCTAACTATCCATCTGCGCGGGTGGTTCAACATCCCCCCTGGTGTAATGTCGAGACTGGCCCGGGAGTCATGATAAACACGATTGGGCTGTGCAGGTACCGGGCGATGAAGAGCAGATGACGGCGAGTGGATCCAGCTTATTGGCGTAACACCACCAGTACTGAATACATTTTAGTAGGATACTATGAAATACCAACTCCCATTGAATGCACAAGGAAAGCTGGGGTTGAGAATGATGCCGGTCTCGGAGAGAAGCTGCAATCAAGTCTTGATTGTATGGTCTGTGTTGGAAGGCCCCCGACACCCTTGTAACCATATTATGTAATGATGCAGATGCGCGTACACACTCACACAGCATCTTCTCATGGACCATCTCATCCTTCCCGATGGAGTATCACCGTACATTGTCGTGCCTTACAAATGCACAGAGAGCTATGACGGAGGTGACTTCTTCACTTACCCAGAGCGCAAGGGCTGGGCCAGAGACATCGAAGATTACGACTTCAGTCGACGAACTCCTGCCGAATTAAATGCATTCTTTCAAGCATGGCTATTTTTTGGATGCCTTACGGAAATCCTGAAAGCTGGCGGGTTGCAGGTTGATACGAACGACTTTATAGACACGAAGTCGAATACGGTCACCACACAAAGGCTTCCACAGCTAATCGTTCAGTGGAAATCGCTCTGGCCCACGTCCAAGGACGTTACGGAGGCATGTCAATGCAAAACTACGCAAAATTATGCACCAGACCAAAGATGCGGTCACGAGCGATGCTGGCACTCTGTCGTACGCGATCGTAACTCCAATGCTCTTCGCTTTACCCGCTTGATCCTCCGCGAGGTCTTCAGTTTCATCGACCTCATATGTGGTACTGAAGGAATTGACCTTGCTTTTGGCGAGGACCATCCAATTCCACCTATCATCCCGCTAGGACCCAGAGATCGCTCTGTCTATCTCCGCTCTTGGATCTGCGCTCCTTAATGCTTCCCAATATCGTGTATGAATGTCTCCTTCCTCGCGTGGAGTGGGGAGGTTATGCAATAATGAGGGGTCGTCTTCGACAAGCGAACTGGTGTCCATCGCGCATAGTGGCAACTATGCTTCCATTAGGCATCGAAGGCCGATACTACTGCGCTGCAAACCCGGTGAAGGAGACCGGTGATCATTCAAAATGCAGCACTAGGAGATGCGTTGCACAGGGTGTCGATGAGGACCATTACCCTACAAGGCATGTCCCAGGTTGTTCTTGCGAGAGTACCGGAGTTCCGCTGGAGGAACTGCTAGATATCATTCGGAAGGATGATGAGGGCCACACACCGGTCGTGACCTGGGTGGAAGGAACCGACGGATTGCCAGGTCGAGCAGTGATCACCGATGCGTCGGCTGTGAACATATTGCCCAACTCTAACATTTGCAAATACGTCGCGATTTCACATGTGTGCGTCCTTCCTGCTGGCCTGGAATGCAGTAATATTGGCCTAACCTCCATTTCCAGGTGGTCTGAAGGACTAGGAAATCCGACCGGAAATACACTTCCCATCTGCCAGGTATCGCGAATCCAAAAGATGGTTGACGAGCTCCTTCCGGATCGTGGCGTTGACCAGCATGTTCCATTTTGGATGGATACTTTGTGCGTTCCGGTAGGCGACAGCTTGAAGGAGTACCGCAAGAAGTGTATCATCAGAATGCGGACAATATACCAGGAAGCGGAAGCAGTCCTTGTTCTTGATGTGGGGATGCAGGAAGTCTCTTCCTCAGCGTCGATCCTCAACCGTACCCTTGCAGTTTTTCAATCAGCGTGGTGGCGGAGACTCTGGACATACCAAGAGGGCATCCTCGCCAATCGTCTCTACCTTCGGCTCAGCGACGGAGTACAAGATATGAATGCAATGGGTGGAGAGCTGACGAATCACTTCACGGAACTGGGACAGCGTGGTTATACCTGCACTGAGATCTTTTCTTTGGACACTTCGGTGTACTTCGGCAAAGGGAAATGGTTCTCCGACTATGAACACAAGCGTGACATGTACTATATGCCAATAAGCGGAGCCCTTTCAAACCGAAGGACAATGAAAGGCTCTGACGAAACTCTGTGTTTGTCCACAGTTTTAGGCATCCATCCGGCGCCCTTTCTGAGGATCGAAGGGCGGATGCCTTTTCTGCTCCGTTACATAGGCAGCTTTGGTCGTCGAATTGTTTTCAATAACTTTCCGCGTTTCAAGAGGGTTGTTCAGGCTGGAATCGAAGACCAACTTATCGACCGCAGGATGGAATTGTTCCTCCACTACATCCGGAAATTTGCTCGTGGAATCATTTTCAACAGTTTACCGCGTCTGAAAAGGGATGGTTATCGATGGGCACCTCGTTCGTTGCTACGAAACGTCTACGCAAGTGATGTCATGGGGAGCCGTTACACTCTGGTGGATTTGTATCATCCAGCCTATGAGGCTATTCTGCATACAGATCGCCGTGGTGTCGAGGGGTTGGTCGTACGACACCCTGGTATGTGCCTGGATTCTGTAGCAAGCCATCATCCCACCACCATCATGGTCGGGGATGGAGATATTCATTATAGCGTTCACCTCCTTCTGGACGAAACCTCAGATTTCTCTGGCTGGGATCGCACAGCACAGTATAACCTGGTTCTTGCACAGAAACCCGGGACTGTCATGAACACGCCTCCGCAGGAACACCCAGTACTGGTTGAAGTCAAGGTACCAGGAGCGCAACGCATGGGGACGATGGCCGCGCTGGGAACTCACCTAGACCTTGATGGACGTCAAGAGCGTCGTGGGGACCTTCCCGGATTTGGTAGGGTCATTAGGATACGGTATGTGTGTCGAGCGTGGGTTACCCTTATATTCGAGTACCAAGGCCCTCATGTGAAGGGTAGGGTTTTACTTAGAAGAGTCAGTTGTTTGGTTTATGTTGTGATGGTGGAGAGTGCTGCAGTCTGGTCTACGGATGCAACTGCAGCAGGGCGAGGACTTATGAATCACTCTGATTGTGCGAGGACAAGTAGCTAAGTCTTGTATTTCTCTGTGATAGCCCGACTGGCACCTTCTGATAGATGTCTACTCCATTTCGTATGTTTGAGACAGTTTATGATACCGTTTCTTATACAGATGCTGCAGAGGGGAAACTCAATTCCAGCGTCTTCATTATAATCTGACCTTTCTACATGGTAGTTTGGTACGTACTAGCCTCCACGCACGACCTCAATACATGATTACTACCGTAGACACAACAGAAACGAGAGAATGCAGACTCGGATGTCGAAGAAATCTCGCGTCCGCGTCTCGACGACGATGACCACAAGGTCCACTCCATTGCTGTCGACAATAATAACGACATTGGCAGCCTCGGCCACGGTGGTGCACAGACCCCAGAGGTAACGTTAGATGAAGACGAATTCGGGGTCCATCGCAAGCAAACCACAGCCCGACGCAACTTTGGACAGTAGCACCATACCGTTCATACCATCCCCTTGGTTGACCACGCGAACGGCGTCGAATCAGGTGCTTTTCACCCTACCCACCCTCAGAACCTGAACTCGAATACCCAGCGACCACCCCAAACCACCATCATCTCGCGCATCTCCTACATCCTCCAGCAGTAATATCAATATCCCCTCATCAAGATCAGTCGCTGGCCACCCACCGAAAATTTCAAGCATTCAACGCACCACTCTCCGCTCTTATGGCCGCACCTCCGCCTCCGATCTTCCCGCAGGCGACTGACCCAGTCGCTCTTGACAGGCGAAAAGTCAGTTCTGTGGGTCTACGATTGGTGTTTCAAGTACGTCCGTATATGGCGGAATAAACAGGTCATCGGCGTGCCAAGTGCTTTGCCCGTGTATCAAACGACCTGCCGGCACCTGTCCGCGCCCCAAACGACCTGTCTATGCCCCAAACAGCGCTCCCATTCGAAAAACAATGCACCCATGCTACAAACGATTCGTCGGCGTGCTGAAACGACTGCCCTATTCCAAAAAGACTTTCCCGTGCCAAAAATGACTCACCTGCGCTCAAAACGACTTGCCTGCACCCCAAACGACACACCCACTCCCAGAATGACACGCCCATGCGGACGACGTGCGGTGGCCCCCAACCAATTCACGGACGGCATGAGCGCAGGAAGAGGACGACCAGTGCGTCGCCACCCTGTTCCAGTACTACCTCCACCCGATCCTCACGGTGGCTCCCTGCCCCTCACTCACATCCTAAACAACTAATCTGTGATTCAAACGACTCACTGGGACCTCAAAAATGACTGGCCTGGCTCAAAACGGCTCACTCGCGATGCAAACGGTTATCCCGTGCCTCAAGCAGCCTCGCCCTTGATGCGGGTAGGCTCATGGACTTCGAACAGCACACCCACTACCCGAAATCCATCTGAGCGGCTTAACCATGTCCCAAACATTTCATCGTACCTCAGGTAGCTCGTACTTCATGCAAATGGGCTCCCGAATCTCGAATGGCTCACTACTCACCCAAAAACCATCCGCGCATGACCCAGATGAATACCCTATGCCTCGTAACTCGTCTTCGATTCAGACAGACTCCCGGACCTCAAAGGACTCACCTGCCATCTAAAAACCACCCAACAACTCACTTCTGACCCGAATGATTACTATCACACACATTGCTACTTTACATTTAGTCGACTTATATTGTACTGGATACTTTGCCGCTATATATATTGCTTTATCATATGGTTCATTAAATATGGCTTATTGGCTAAACAGTTCACAATTTGCGGTCAATGACTGTGACTTCTGTTCACTGACCCGCGCCCTGCTACATCCAATCTGTGGTCGATGATCGATCGACTGATTTAGTGATATCAATTAATCTACTAATACTGATTCTAGTGCTCTGCTGAAGTGCCAAAGTAGTGCCATTGATTAGCGCGATTGGCACATATTGCTAACTTCCCTCCTGCTTGACCCTTCGAGATGGACCACCCAAGGTCGGACCATACTTCAAATGCCATTAATGTCGATTTGCCAAGACGTTGTACTGGATATCACACCTCATGCTATACCTCAGAGGTACCGTTTGATAGATTGCGATCAGTTTGTGGAAGGTCAACTGCTCCGCATCGAGGAATTCACAGATTTCCCATCTGTCCAATACGCCGCTATATCGTACGTCTGGAAAGGCAACCCTTTAGAGCCTTCCAAAGCAAATAGTCACAAGAGTTTTTCTGTCGCTGGTGCGCTCGATGGAGACCCGATTAGCATTTATGCTCTGAACCAAGCCTGCTTGACTGCTGTTAAACATGGGGCTCGTTACATCTGGCTCGATCGACTATGCATCATGCAGACTAATCCCGAAGACAAACACTGGCAGATTAGGCAGATGAGCGAGATGTACAGGAAATGCAACCCATGCATTATTCTCCCGGGCGGTGTACAGAAACTTGTGCGGGTCGATGAAGAGACTGACTGGATTCACCGAGGATGGACATTGCAGGAGTTGCTGTTGCCAGAACGTGCTTTGGTGTTACTTGCGTGGAAGATCGGATCAGGTAAACACTACCCTCACCAATGATACAGCAATTTAACACAGCAATTCAACACAGCAATTCAACACATGCTTAACAGGCATGGTGATAGCTGGCGACGCGTCTGGTACCATAACCGAAGTCACAGCAAACGAATCAGCCGTGATGTCAGCACCTGACATACTAAATGCCTGCGTTGCGGGTTGTATCGAGTTCACCTCCCCCCGTTCATCTTCTCCATTACTCATTCGCAGTCGTGTATTCGGTTCTGCTTCGCCAAATCTGTTCGCGACTTCTGTCGCTATGTCGGAAGAACTAGCGGCCGACCCGGACGCGCGCAACCACGCCATCTGGCAGAGTGCCCTCATGCGAACGTCATCGCGCCCTGTCGATATGGTGTTCAGTATCATGGGGCTCTTTGGGGTAAACCTCGACCCCAGTAAGTTCGAGAAGGATGACCGCATCGGCGCCACTGTTGCCCTCGCGAAGGAGATACTGCGCCAAGGTGGCAGGGCAAGTTGGCTCGGCATGTCCTTCCGGCTACCTCCGTGCAGCATGCTGTGCACATTCCCTGTTTTTGCAGAGACGAGTGTATCTGGAAAAGCGCTGGTGCGCACGAAGACAGGTTTGCGAGAGGTGTCTAACTTCGTTGATGGGGAGTATCCGAATGAACTAGGACTTGGCATTTTACTATCAGGAGGAACTATGGATGACGATGGCTACTTCACGTTCTCATCTCGGGCGGTTCGTTTAGTGGCTGTAACAAGCAAGCTGGACCGCGGGCACAAAGATAAGGTGAGCTACTTCCAGCACATGCATATACAATACTTACCTTTTTCAGACCATCGATTCAAGTCGTAGATTGGTTACATCGATAAATGGAAGCGTCTGGGAGATCGTGGGAGATGGACATATTGGTGAACCTGCTTCACTTGCAAATACCCACGGCGTCATACTGGGCTGGTTTCAAGAGTTCTATCCTGGCGTCACTCTAGCCCATAACCAACACTATATAAAGGGGATGATAGTCGAAGAACATACTCCTGAAAGATTTCACATCGTGTCATTCTTCTCCTTACACATACGCGACAGGGCGTGGGTCAAGAGCTGGCAGGAGCGTCAATTCAGTGTTGGAGGTCCAAAGCCGCTTATGCGCAAGGGTCATATAACAGAGGAGGCCTTTGACGCTGTGCACTGTTTACCAGAGGAGGGTGAACGATCAAGGAAAAGTGAGAGACATGTCGCAGCCGCCAGGTCTGAATGGGCGATGTCTCAAGTCGAAGCAGAAGACTATTACCTAACGTACACGTGACTACTGTGTGTGTACTGTCAGGCTTATGTAATTAAAAACGCATTCGATACGTCATTGCGCACGCTAACCTTGAACGATACGGCCGAGGCACATCCAACTCATCTGGCTTAGCCTCGGTATAAAACGAATCCCCATATGCACCGTCGCCCCACGTATCCAGATCCACGGGCTGGAGCTTCAATGGCGAGGGTGCTCACGGTATTAACTGCGGTCTTGATGGGCCTCCGTGTTCAATCGCAATAACAACTTAAATTTCCAGTGAGTACGGGAAGAAAGATGCCATCACAACGTTTAGGTTCTCTCTTCATATGTTCTCTTTGACCATCCTTAAAGACCGCTCGAGTCTGTAGTTCACACCGCCACGTCCACGACCTCAGCAGTACAGAGACAATGATATGCGTACGCTTTGAGCTCGTGATTGTTCTCCCTACTCACCAGATCAGGAAATGACTGATGATACATAGAACGTGACGTCGGACACATGTCAGTGTGGGCGTCTGTGTAGCTGCTGCACCAGCGCCGGTTGATACTGCAGCCTTGGCATGGGACCCATACCTCAAAAGGGATACGGCAACTCTCCCTCCACCGACCCACCTCCACCTTTTTTCCCATCCAAATACCCAAGCAACTCCTCCTCCCATCTCCTTCGTCCTTTATACCCCGCAACGTCCCGTGGCCAACTCCTCACTGCACTCGCCAGTCTCGCAGCGACTCCTGTGCCTTCTCTGACTAGCTCCTCCACACCCACCTGATACGTCTGAATTCCGAACACAATCGCACCCGTTCGAGGCAGTCGGTGCAGTGTTTGATGTTCAGTATGGAGACGCAGCGTCTTCGGAGAGAGGTGCGGGATTGGTGCACTGCTGTGTCCCCGGCCGTCAGCAAACGTGTCTTCCGGACCATTCTGGGTGAAACTCCAGCTGAGCTCGTTTGGATCAACATCTTCCGGATTTTTCGTTGCCGAGACAGCTTGAATGGAGTAGTCGTTCCATATGACAGGTTTATCAACAGGTAGGCGTTTGAAAAATCGGCTCATGCTCATTTGCAGCTTCTCTTTGACTATATGTGGTGTTGTTCGTGTCGAGGACCGCGTGAAAACAAGTTTGGGATCACTTACATTGTGGCACGCCGCCGGATATATGTATCTCATTGAGGGGCATGCCAATTTTGTCCCTCATACGCCAGAATCCTGGATCGTCAGAGAGGCGGTCAGCATTGACGACAGTAGTGCCATCACAATAGCAGTCAGGCAACAGACATACCCGGTACGAAGACCAATTCAGCCTGGAAGTAATACTTGCCGTCCGATCTACATAACGGTCTTTGATTTACACCAATCCCAGCCCCGAAGTCACACACAACGCTCACCTTCAACCATGATAGCGAAATCGTCTTGAGTTCTATAGCAGAAAAAGGTTTAGAGACCCAGCCGATGTCTTCCACTCGAACGATAGACTTACAATCCGTTAACAAATTTCAATGCTTCCTCTCCCATCCGTGGGTCTTCCACCGCTTCGAGTGTGGAAAGGCTGTATGTGATACCCGTGTCCACGACATGGATTGCTTTAATAGGCATCAAACCATGCCAGGCTAGAGGAATGCCTTCGATAGTGGCTATATCGTCCTTCAACGACGTGGAAGGTGAAGATGTGACACGCGAGACCTTGAACGACAAAGGATACCGTCTGGACAGGAACTCTGCAAGCTCGTACACAAGCTCCCTAGCTATATACCCCATCGTTGCATATCAGAAATATCAAAATATTGAATGAAGACTGACCTGCTTCAGCACCTCCCGTGACATTCACACACTCGTGTCCCTCCCTGTTGTCCTCTCCTGCACGCAAAGGCGAAAAGGACTGCGAAGGAAGAACTTGCAACACGCTTTTTCCACCAGTTCGTAGACGGGCATCCCGTATCTGTTGGTACGCCACAAATTTGGAATCGAGTTCTATCCACTCAGACCACGGCATCGTACGTATACCCATCGTGACACTGTGAATTTCGCGATGCGGGACCACGCTAGTGTATGAGCGCAAATGCCGAGTGGTGACGTGAAAGGGATAGCGTTCACTCACTGATATGCTCCCCACCGAAATGGTCGATATGGGATCACTTGGATATCATTCAATGCAGTCTTGCAGGGCGTGATTTCGGGATAGGTGGAGTGCTGGGGCGTCCATTCTAATCAAGTACCCATCATTGTTGTTCGTGATGGAGGAGGAATGGATAATTATTGTCATTGGCAATGGAAGGACATGAACATGTACTACGCACCGCCGTTTGGACGATTCCTATTGTCAGCGTCTTCGCTGTGTCCTACTGCCTTTCCACTTGGCACTGTCGGTAGGGTATTGATACGGGTACGGGTAGCATCCTTCGAGCGGCATTTCCGATGGACCCAGTAGATCGCGTACGATATCGAGATGAAGACAAGGACGTACACAAGTGTGTCGTGGCAGTCCAAGTATCGTGCTAGTAGTGGCCCAACGAGAGCTCCGAGTTTGTCGATCCGGCGTTGGAGGTCGTTCATGGCAGTCGTCTCATGGGAACACATACCGCGGATAATCGATAAGGCGCCATGTAAAGCATAAGGTTCGACCGCCAGTTTCCAGATGCAACGAAGTCAATTCAATGGCTGAGGTGAACACGATACACCAGAAACGAGAGAACGAAGGCCTGGATGCCAAAGAAATCCCCAGATATTCATGTGCACCCTCACATCTCGACGACATCGACATCGACATTGGCAGCCTTGGCAACCACGGCGGAAGTGCACAAACCCTACAGACAATAATATCGAAAGAAGATGAACTCGATGTCCAACACAGGCAGATCGAAACATGGTGTGTATGAGAACAAGCCGTTAACGTTCATACCGGGATCCCGTTGCCGGTTGACCGCTGTGTACGATGTCCGATAAACCGACTTTTCGCCTTACCCGCTCACGGAATCTAGACTTGAAGACCTTGACACCGCTCACCACGAACCACCATCATCTCGTGCGTTTGTAGTAACATCCTCCAGCAGTAAACAATCACCCCTCATCAAGGCCGCCATCACCCAAAGCAGTCGGTTTCCACCGAAAATCTCAGGCGTTCAACGCACCGCTCTCCACTCTCACGGCCCCACTGCCTCCGATCCCCTCGCGGGTGGACTGACCCCGGTCGCACTTGACAGGCGAGAAATCAGTTCTGTGGATTCGTGGTCCGTATTTCAAGTATATGGCAAGGGGTCCGATTTGGAAAATGCATGTTGTGAGCGCTGTTTCTTAGTCTTGTTGTGGCCGCACGCGTACTGTGGTTCGACGACACGAAAGAGCTACCCGGCGTTTCGTTATTGACAGTGGAAATGCGATGAGAGACGGACGCCTTCCCCACAAGTTCATAAACCGGCATCCCATATCCTTTGGCATGCTACAAACTCAGATCATGGCATTGTACGTACAGTACGAGCGGAATGCTTAGTTCTGATGGGAAGGATGGCTTTTACTTGCTGATATTCTCCCTGCTGAACAGGTCGATATGGTATCCGTTTACAGCAACATTGAATGTTCATCGATGTCCGTCCTTGCCTCGCACAGTCCTTAGCTCCCTGCAAGATTGAGATGGCATTAAGGTACGAAGTTCGACTTTCACCTGACAGATAGGATACCGTGATTAGGACGTCACTGACGAGGAATTTCCTCAAATCACCGCTCAACATTACGTTCAACTATCAATACATCAGGCCACTGAGAAAGGGCTTGTTACGCACACAACAATCACATTCATTGCATCCAAACTTGGTCACGTATAAAAGTACACAAATTACACAAATCAAATTGCCAAGGGTTTTCTGAAGTTACCGCTGCATCCTACATTCTCGTACATCCATGATTCAAGGAAGAGGCATACTGAAGTTCTGGAATTGCGAAATTTACTTGTCTTCGCTGTCTGCGACTTTCCATCCGCGCTATGATGGGAATTGACAGAAGTCAGCCATCGCCGTAACTTAGAGCAGCAGACCTACAGGGAACAAGCTGTTGTGACGTCTCCAATCGAACAGACGCACGGGTTGGTCAGGATCGCCTGTCTTCGCAACGCCCGACGCATACAGGGCCACCTTCGCAGGTGCGACGGTGGATGATAACTTATCTTTGTCCGAAATGGGAGATGTCTCGTCACTGCCCTGCGCAGTTGCGATAACCTTGCCCGATGTATCCACCAACGCGCCCGAAAGACTTTTGATTATGTTTTTTTACAGTGGTTTCAATGGTGGCGGTAGTATTCCCAGTGCGAGTCTTGACGACGAGTTCGTTAACGATGTCGAAAGGCAGTGGGATGGCCCCATGGATGATCGAACCGTTGGAGCGGTGCTTAGCACAGGCCTTGCAAGGCGAACGGTCAGGTCGGGCGAACACAGTGACCGCGCTGATGGACCTAGATTCAGTGCCTCGGTTGTAACGCAATTCGAAGCTGTATGTCCTGTTGAAGGCGTGCTCTGGAAGCTGAACGGCGACGACAAAAGTACGGAAATGGTCTATCTCCTCGAAGCCCTTAGGAAGTCCAGCTTCCTTTGCAGGCCGGACGGGAATGTGGCTCCACGATATCTTATCTGCATCTTTTCTGTTCTCTGCTGCTCCGCTGCAATCAAAACCGTAGTATTTGTAAATTCTTTTCCGAACAGCACGGCGGTTCTCCGCAGGGGTCTCCTGGTCAATCCTAATGCCCAGGAATTCATCATAAGAATAGTCTACATTGATTAAATTTATGACATCCCATGGAATGTGGGATGAAGAGTAGGAAAGCGCACACTTCGGATATGCGTCTTTGTTATCTTTGTAGAGGAAACGGGTTTGTTCAGAATTCCAGTACTCGCCGTTCTCCAATCTGAACGGATACAGGGAACCGCGAACACCGGTAGGAAGAAGTTTCTCGTTTATACTTGCATGTAAGGTAAAAAAGATCAGAATTTCATTACACTCCATAATACTGCACTCACCTGAGTCCATGAAAAGGATCTGCTATTATCACGCGGTTCCGTGTAGCCGTCGCCCGTCCAGTAGTCTGGGTAGCACCACTCCCATAGCGCGACTGAGATGAGTGGCATCAGTGGGTGGCATACATATGTTCAAATATTCGGTACTCACGGATCCTGTCAACACTATATTGCGCAGAGGAACGGGAGAAACGAAGAGCAATAGGCACGAACACTTGCCTTTGTTAGAATGGTAGTAGATTTGAAGATATAAGCAACTTGTAGTTGAGGGGCTCAGTTGTCGAGTAGACAAGTGAAGAACAAATGTAGAATTCAATAGGGACCTAGGGAGAAAGTCCCGAGTTTATATACATGAGTAGGTGCACACAGACCAGTAGCATAAAAGGAAACTACTACTCAGTATGGTAAGGAAAAGCATAGAAGGTCATGGAATAATGACATATAGTATAATGTCACTGTGGAGCTGATTGCTAAGGAATGTCATGTGATGAACAACGTGTTGATGCACATGTAAGTCTGGATCAGTCTAGACATCAGAACATATAGTAATATTTCCAACACTCCCCCTTGCTCTAGAATGGGAGAGTAATGAGTCCCATTGACGAGTGATTCGTCTCAAATTTTTGCCACATCAGAGATTTTGTAAGACTGTCTGCTTTTTGTTTGTCAGTTTGAACATATTCAATACTGAACAAATCATCTTGAACACATTTGCGAACGAAGTGCCATTGGATGTCGATATGTTTAGAGCGACTGTCTGATACAGGATTCTCAGCTATAAAGTGAGCTCCCATATTATCACAGTAGAGAATTGTCTTCTCGGTCTTGAGTTTAAGTTCATCAAATAGCATTGATAGCCATTTGATTTGATGTGCAGCATCACAGAGAGCCATATACTTGGCTTCTGTAGAGGAGAGCGTGATTGTCTTCTGTTTACAAGAGTGCCAAGAAATGAGGGATGTTCCGAGGAACATAGCATAACCAGTGGTAGAATGTCATGTATCTTTATTCACAGCCCAATCAGAGTCTGCATAGCCATAGATTCGAGATTCAAGTCCCGAATAGTATAAAGCCAATTTTGGAGTTGATGCAATATAGTGAACTATATGCAAGGCTTTATTTCTGTGATCTTCGGTAGGATTCACCATATATTGAGACATGTGAATAACTGCAAAGGTGATATCAGGACGAGTACCAAGGGCCATATAGAGTAGGGACCCAATGATAGACTGGTACTGTGACCAAAGAGAAGAGGTGGCTTGATAATCTGATGGTGCTTTTTCTGGTTGATATCCCGAAGGTAATGGAGTGCGAACATTTCGAGCAGTCTCCATGTTAAACCTTTTGATAACCTTTTTGACATAAGGTATCTGGTCGAGGTAGATTTCTTTCTTTGACCTATCTCAGTGAACTTGAATGCCAAGATATTCCTTGACTTCACCAAGATCATGGGATTCCCATTTCTTCATGAATTGATCTTTCTTGGCTTTAAGAAGATGTTTGTCTGATCCTAGAAAGAGTCCATTGTTGACATAGACAAGGAAAATGACAATTCCAGCTTTGGAAGTGTGGATATAAATCCCAGCATCCACTTTTGATCAAATATAGCCCATTGAGAGTAGAGATTGATGAAGGGCTTTATTCCATGCCAATGCAGCTTGCTTTAAGCCATAGAGGGCTCGAAGCAACCAATAAACCTTGTGTTCTTGACCTGAAACTTTGAAACCTTCTGGTTGCTCCATATAGATTTCTTCATCAAGATTGCCATATAAAAAGGCAGTTTTGACATCCAGGGCTTCCAGTTCCCAATTTCTCTGGGCAGCAAATGTGAGTAGAATTCACACAGTCTCGAAGCAAGCCACTGGAGAGAAGGTATCTTCAAAGTCGGTACTGAATTCTTGTGTGAAGCCTTTAGCCACAAGATGAGCTTTATAATGACCATCGCTTTTGATAGCAAAAACCCATCGACACTTAACAGGTTTCTGATCTCTAGGAGGATCCACCAAGGTCCAAACTTGTCTTTCTTCAATAGACTTTAATTCGTCCTTCATTGCATCAAACCATTTCTTTTGCAAATCGGGAGATAATTTTAGCACATCTTTATAGTGCTCCGGAGATTCCTTGATTCGAGCAGCAAGTGCCAACTCGAAAGGATGCATTTTGGCTTCTTGGCCAGGCATTCCTTTTGGAGAATTAGGAGTATCTGGAATAGGAGTGAGTGGAGATCCAGGAGATGGAGGAGTAGTTCCTTGTGGATGTTCAGTCCACTGACGAGGAACTTCAGGAGGAATCATTGCAGGAGGTAACCTCGGAGAAGGAGGTCTGCGCTCTTCTGCATATCTCTGAATATCTTCTCTGGAATTGTGAGCATGTTGCTCAGCATTACAAATCCACTGTTGTGCTTGATCCCGATTTCTTTGAATGTCCTGTTCTATTTGAACTGGAGGTCTGTCTCCATAGATGTTTCCAGGACAAGATACTGGTATAAATCGACGTTTAGGACGAGGTTCTCTGTCATCTGCAGGTTGAGCTCTGTGAACATTGTGTGAGTCTCCTTGAATAAATTCTGGTTGATGAGGATGTCTGAGATGACGAGGGTTGACTGGTGGTGCAGCAGCAGGTGCTCTTCTTGGTTGTTGTTGATGAGCTCTATGCTGGTCTGCAGCTCTCTGCTGTGGGTTTTGTGGTTGTGGTGGAGTTAATGGACGAGGTGGTTGGTGGTGATGAGGTGCCGGTTGGATCTGATCAGGATCCAGAAGTGAATGTAGGCTTTCAGAGTCAGAAGAAGTTGAATCATGGTCATCTTCAGTATTGGGGTCAAAGGTTTTGGATTTTGAATCAGAGCAGAAAGGAAAAGAGTCTTCTACGAATTTTGCAGTTCGAGAAAGAATAATCTTTTGTCCATGAAGGAACCGATATCCTTTTGTATTAGGCTCGTAGCCTAAGAAAATCATTTCGACTGCATGAGGTTCCAATTTATCTTTTCTGTGTTCTTTGGGAACCCATACAAAAGCTTTGCAGCCAAAGGTGCAGAAATATGATATATCCGGGACTTTTCCTAAGAAGAGTTCAACCAGAGTCTTGAAAACAATCCTTTTGAGAGGAGTTCTGTTGTACACATGAAGTGCACAGTCAAAGGCGAAGTTCCAGAAGCGTTTTGGAACACAAGCATGGTGTCGAATGGTCCCAGCTTTCTCAGAAATGGTCTGATTAAAGCGTTCTGCTTGACCATTTTGTTGAGGCTGGTCGGCAATAGATAGATGATGGGTAATTCTGTGCGAAGAAAGGAGTGCTTTGAAAGTGGTACCCATAAATTCTCCCCCTTGATCTGAATGGAGTGCAAGAAGATGATGTCCAGTAGTATTTTGCATAGACACCATCCAATTGGCAAAAGCAGTATAGGTGTCAGATTTGTTGCGAAGGTAGAGGCAAAAACCATAAGATGAATAATCATCCAAGAGGGTGAAGATATATTTGGACCAATAATATGATTCGACAGGTAATTCAAGAAGGTCAGCATGGACCAACTCGAGAGGTTTAGTTGCTCATTTCCATGATGGTTTAAAAACTTCGGAAGAAAGTTTGTCTTGTGTGCAACCTTTACAAGAGGTAGTCTCCCCCTGTATTTGTATATCTTGTTTAAGGCCTAATTGGCAGATATATCTGAGAACTGCTTGTGCAGGGTGACACATACAATTATGCCAAAGAGACTCTTGTGATGCCTTGACCAGAGGGCAAAGGACCCCATAGGCAGTGGTAGGTGGAAGCAGTATGCCCACAAACCAGTGAAGAGGTGAAGTCGGAGAAGCTACTTTCACTTCAAGGACAATCCAGCCATCCGGTGCTCTGATAGTCTTGCTTGTAAGTGTCACTGTGCTCCTATATCCGTTATTGAGGAGTGTATTTCATGAACATAGTTGCTTTGAAAACAAAGGACTGTAAACAACATTGTGCAGTGGTAGGTTACTGCCATTTTCCAGGTGAATAACCACTGTTCCTTGACTGAGAAGTTGAACCTTTTTAGAGCCAGCAGTAGAGGCCAAAGGTGGATTTTTAAATTCTTGAAAAGTCAAGAAATCAGTTTTAAATGGAGTCACATGATGTGATGCTCCAGAATCCAACATCCATAAAGACTCACCCTTTGGTAGGTTCTTTTTTTTTAGATTCACATATGACAAAGGCACACCCAAGGGGTAGCAGTCATAAGAATCGAAGGCATGACCATCGAATTGCATGGGTAAATACCCAGAGGCAGATTCGTTGGGATCATACTCGATGTCTGGATTATGCTTTACATGAAAAGGTTTACATACAGGTTTTTCTGGCACAGATTCATGAAATTGTGATAAGGACATTGGGTGATTCTTCTTTTTAGAAGATTTTATAAGTACGGATTTTCGGAGAGATTCTCCATCTCTACAATTCTGTCCTCAAAGTCGAGGGGAAGAGAGATCAAAAGTCCATTTGTTCGGTGGAGCTGAATTGCCATAATCCTCAACATTCCTATTCTCCACCATGTTCTCACCAGCCAGAATGGAATTTCCCATTTGTACTGAGGATTTGAAGGAACCACTCGTACATGTCCCATCCTGCTCAGCAGGAGGAAGGGAAATCTTCCTTGGATGAGAGTCTGAGTACTTCCATTGCTCTGGTTCCCAAAGGGAAACCGCCAGCAGGTTGCAAGAGTTGGCTGTTCGGTGACATATAGAACATTGGCAGGAATTAGAGCCAGGAATGTTAACATGAATCTTGACTAACTCAACTTGATCTGGTTGGAAATTTTGAATTTCCTCCAGATACCAAGGAGCAAGATTTCCTGTAGTGGCATCTACTGGATAATTGGGGGAATCCCCAACTGTTTCCATCGCCATAGTAAGATCTTGGCAGGAAAGATCAGGATCATACATCTCAGTGTCAGTTATAATATGTTGCCCGAGATATGTATTAAGGTCGTTAGAGTAAACTCGTTCGACTGGAGTAGGATCTGGGAGAGAGTGCTTGGGGGATGGTTCACAGGAAGGAATATTAATAGCCATAATATCAAATTTGGCTGCAGCATTCTCAAAGGATTCTTGATCTGGGTAGACATCCTAAGATCTAGAATTTGGATCATAGGAACCTTCTGGAAGTTCCTCAATATAGGCAGCATCAATTGCTTCTGTGCCTTCTACTTCGAGATTATTGGCTCGGGCCTTGCCCTTGCCACGGCGTCTGTTCTGGCCTCGGCCACGAGAACCAGAACCTTGCTGCTGTTTTGGTTGTGAATAGGGAGTATAACCTCCACATCCACGAGTTCTGCAACCTC